AAAAACTGGCCATAAAGTTCTTAATGAAATATAAGAAGCATAGAACAGAAAAAAAGTCTTCAAAATAATAAATAAGGAAAATCCAAATCCTGACCGGAAACCCTTACTATAAAGCTTTAAAAAATGTTTAAAATAAAATAATTTAAGGAAAATGAGGTGGGAAAAATTGAGATAAAAGTGGTTGGTTCTCTCTCTCTCTGTCTGTCTCTCTCTCTCTTTCTCTCTCTCTGTCTGTCTGTCTCTCTCTCTCTCTCTCTTCCTCTCTCCCCTATCCTCTCTCTCCTCTCCTCTCTCTACTCTGAATGTTAGCCTCTTAAATTTATTTTATTTTTAAAATTTATGTATTGGCAACAATTAACCAAACGGTTAACCAAAAGGGCGATGGTCACATAGATAATAACTCTATAAGTATCTGAAAATAAATCTCTACATTTATGGTCAACTGATTTTTAACAATGTTTGTCCAAACTTTGGTGGTGGATGGAGTATAACTCAGGTCTGACCGGTCACAAAGCCATAATGTGCTAACATTACTGGACCTAACAAGGAAAACAGCTATGAGACTTTGGTCTTTCACCTTGAGTCCACAGTCATTGGTGGGCTTGCTCAAATGAGTCCAATTCTCAAAGCATCTCAAAATCCTATTTGGGGGCAAGAATGGGGAGTAGGAAAGAGGAGAGAGGCAACAGGAGAGAAACATCTAAGTCCGAAGTGTCCCTGTGTCCAACTTCCCTCAAGGTTGACCTGGCATTTTCAGGCTGACAGTTTCTGACAATACACTTCTATTCAATTAGGTGTGCAGCTTAAGTAAGCATGTAAACCAGGGTAGCTGGGGAGAAGCATGATGCACTTGTTTTCAAAGCAAACCTTTGTGCTTGTGCTAGAGTGCTACTTAGGAAGATATTAAAAGGTTTCAAGTTCTTATTTAATTATTTATTATTATAATCAGAGGAAAGAACAAATGCATAACAATGAGTGAATGAGTGCTAATGTGCTCGAATTAAAGAACCAACAATATTATTAATACCTTTCCACTGAGACTACTAGAATTAAAGGTCTGTGAGGGCTTGAAACTTTGGTCTGCTTTAGCTTGTTGCCTTACCCTTCAAAACCTAGAATGGTACCTGACGTGCTAGGTATGGTGCGATATTTCTTTATGATTGCATGAGTCTACTTGGAGCCAACAATATGTTAGAGCTCAACATTGTCCTAAATTTGGGAGCTATTGTGTACTTCAATTTTGATAACATTTTCACATACATCCTTAAACAATATTGTTATGTTGGTCTCTTTTTTTTTTAATTTACACAACAGAATTTAAATGTACCAAGTTATTAGCTAGGTGTTTGAAACCTTAGTGTGGAAGATTTACCTATGAGGTTTCAGTCAGACCTTGTCATCGCTGGCTTGTATTTTACTGAATTTATATGTCATAATTTCATCTCCCTTTTCTCCTGGCAGTTGATACTTTGCATTTATGTGTTTATAAACAAAGCTAATATGAGCATGCGTGCATGTACCTCCTGGAGTTTCAATCTGGAAGAAGGAACTGCAGTCAGAATTTTTATTTTCATCTCCCAAAATTTAGTCCGTGAGTCAAAACTACAGCATGCATTTAATTCACACTAAGATAGAATCATTGGGAGAACTGCTATCAAAAATATTTTGAGAACCGAGTACAGAAGATGGGATAAGGGAAAAGGGAAAGGAGAAATTTGTCTGCTGAAACCTGCCATTTCTCTAACCTTTAATCAAAGTGTAGTTCATAAAAATCCGGATTCTAAAATCCTCTTCATTATTTTTCTCCCCTATTTTCTCTAAGTAATTTAAAAATTCTTTATTAAGTTCATATCTACTTAACAAAATGGTGATTGTTTGAACCTTCTTTTGAATACACATTTGGTTGGATTCTTTAAACAACCAGTATAGTTTAAATTTTGATGTGGATAAATTGTATATTTTTTAACTTTCTAATAAAAATACAATACTTCTCCTTATAACAAAACTGAAATGTGCAGTGCTGTAGTAACCCTAGATAGAATTTGCATAGCACAGCTTTCAAACTTACCTTTTTTATTGTTTTTTTATTGAGCTCTACATTTTTCTCTGCTCCCCTTGCTTCCTCTCCCCTCCCCTTCAACCCTCTCCCATGGTCCCCATGCTGCCAATTTACTCAGGAGATTTTGTCTTTTCTACTTCCCATGTAGATTAGATCCATGTATGTCTCTCTTAAAGTCCTCATTATTGTCTAAATTCTCTGGGCTTGTGAATTGTAGACTTGTTTTCTGTGCTTTATGTCTAAAATCCACTTATGACTGAGTACATATGATATTTCTCTTTCTGGGTCTGGGTTACCTCACTTACTATGATGTTTTCTAGAACCATTCATTTGCCTGCAAATTTTAAAATGTCATTTTTTTCTGCTGTGTAGTACTCCACTGTGTAAATATACCACATCTTGTTTATCCATTCTTCAGTCAAGAGGCATTTAGGTTGTTTTCAGGTTCTGGCTATGACAAACAATGCTGCTAGGAACATAGTTAAGCATATGTCCTTGTAGTACAATTGAGCATCCTTTGGATATATACCCAAAAGTGGTATTACTGGGTCTTGAGGAAGGTTGTCAAACTTACCTTTATACACATTGAATGGCACCTCTCCTTTCTTTCTTTTGTTTGTTTGTTTCGTTGTTGTTGTTGTTGTTTAAATAGCCTTGGCTGTCCTAGAACTCACTTTGTAGACCAGGCTGTCCTCGAACTCACAGAAATCCACCTGCCTCTGGATCCTGCGTGCTCGGATTAAAGATGTGTGCCACAACGTCAGGCCTGAACTCTCTTTTCTTACAGTCTTCTTTTAAAAGATTACTTTACTCATCTATTTTATGTATGTTTTCCACTTTGTTAACGTGACATGTAATTTGTATCTAAAACAGACATTACTATTGTCACTTATATCCTTAAAAATAATCCCATCTCTCATGTCTTCTTATATGGAGCAGTCAGAAATCATTATTTGCTACATTATTTTACTTTTCTTTGGCTCTTGAATTTCTGCTCAAGTAGATGGTGATTTGCAAAAGGGAAAGAACATATACTAATCACCACTATAGCTCTATATTTTAACCTTGTGACTCATTCATGGGTCAGTTATCTAATCTATCTATTTACCTGTTTCCAGCTTCCAACCACATTGCACAGTTTGCCAGTCATATTACATAATTTATCAGTAATTAAGAATCTTCTTTCTGGATTCAGACAGAGCATATATGGAAGCTTAGCATTTCTCTTTACTAGATGTATGATTTTGCATAAATGTGTTTAATTACTCTAAGCATCAGAACATGAAGGTGATCTAAAGTCACCCAGAAAATTTGGGAGGAAAATTAAAGGCGATGATCCGTATGAAATGGCCTGACATGTTGACTACCTAACTACATGTATTTTTTATTTTATTTTGCTTGTATTAGTCAGAGAGGCTTTAAAATGGTGGAAAGTCGAGAAAGAAAATTATGAAAATTTTCTTCTGCTTCTTTCTGGAATGAGAATGAAGGCACAATATTTAATGACATTTTAACCAATACAGTGAGTGATGTTCGTTGTGAGGGGCTGAGTTGTGGATTTGAAATGGGCTCTTTTCCTTTGAAACATGTGGCTCTTCAATCCTTGATTCTATTTACAGTTTTAGTAATGGCATGAAATGGGGGCTTTTGAAAGAGAATACAAGCCACCATAACTAGCTGTTTGATTTTCATATTTAGAGTACACGTATTTTAAATTCATTCTGCTGTACGCAGGTCTTCAATAAAGGTTAGTATTCCTGTCCCGGAGACTTAGAAGTTGTAGCCGAAGTTGTCTTTGCTTATGCCTTGCCAGGGCTGCTCCTTAGAAGTGGAAGGGGAAGAAGTTTGAATGCTTTTCTGGATTCTGGGGACTATGCTATGCAGGAAACCAGAGCGCCATTAGGAGAAAGCAAAAGTGAGGAGTGAGAAGAATTTGGGGAAGGAAAACTATTTGGATAAACGTGGCTTGGTATCAAAACATTTTAACCTTGTCATTTCTTACTCTTCCTTGTTTCCAGTGTACAATAACTATGCTAATGAGAGAACAATCTTGTTTTGCTTACTTGTTATGGGGTGATGAAACCACTAAGCACAAGAAGTAGATTCCAATTATGGCTCATTTTCCTTCCTTTTTTTTTTTTTTTTTTTGGTAGAAACGTACTGATGAAACATAGAAGTTGTAGTCCCATGGCTCAGAGTGTGGACAACTGTCATCTATCTGAGGCACAGTAGCATAGGCACATGCGCCCCTGGCACAGCAATTCGGTTCCTCTTTGTTACAGAGCAGGGCCAGGGACATGGACCTGTGATGCAGAGAGGCTCAAAGGAAAGCTAAGGAATTGAATTTAAAGACCAATGGAAACTGGTCTATATATTAATTTATCTTTCACTTGTATATTAATTTCAAGAGCAACTCCCACAGTTGATTCATGTTGTGACATATAGCAATAACCCAGTACTACCAGTGACAATGTTCCTGTTTTACAGGTAAGACTCCAAGAGCTAAGATCCATAAAAATTCTTCTGGTATTTGATATGGTTTTATCATAGGTCTCCCTTTGGGAGAAGTAAGGTAGAGGGTTGGGTTCATGTCATTTAATGACCAAAACTGTCTGAGCAATACATTAAGTTGCTACCTTTACCTCAGATTTCCTGCCCTCTTCCTTCCCTTACAAATTCAGAGGTCATGAGATTGACTACTCCCAGAGAAAATTGTTTAATCCCTTGGCAGGATCCACAGGGTTCTATCAATGCCATGTGAAACCTTACAAACCCGTGCTCGGGTAAGGTCTCAAAAAAAAAGCTAAGCTTCACATGAGCGATACATAGAATGATGCATAAAATATGTATGGTTTCTCCGAAAACCAGAGAATTCGCCTCGAGTTCTGCCACCCACTGACATGTGCTGCTTTGTTTTGTGTGTGTGCGTGTGTCTTTTCAGTTTGGACAGCGCCAGGGACCACGTTTTACCCATCGACTATTACTTCCCACCTCAGAAGACCTGCCTGATCTGCGGCGATGAAGCTTCTGGCTGTCACTACGGAGCCCTCACCTGTGGCAGCTGCAAGGTCTTCTTCAAAAGAGCCGCTGAAGGTAAAAAGGTCTTACCTCCTTCCTGATATTTGCCTTCTTCTTCTGCCTCCAAGAGAGGGACAGCAGCCTTCCAGGGCCTTCTGGTAATCCCAGGGACTGACTTATTAGCAAAAGCCCTGTCGTAGAACCTATAAGAACAAAGAAGCAAATGGTTCTCTTTGCTGAGCTCTGTTGGCTGCCCTGGTTGGACAAGCAGTGTTGATGATGAAGGTGGTCTGAGCTGGTGCTTGGTGTGCAGTGGATCCTAGGAACGAAAGCAAAATTAATGATTTGAAAAATTAATTTTCCCTCCTGCTTGTTTTCAACAAGTGAGGGGGAAATGGCCTCATTAGAGAGGTTACAAGTTGAGAAACCCCAACTGAGTCCGCAGGCTGTTCTATGTAGTGAATGCTAGATTGTTCCTAGCTAAAGCTTCCTGGCTTTAACCCCAGAGAGGAAGTGTGCTCACTGTTCGGCAGACCGTCAGTGTCTGCACCTGCTCCCTTCTGCTTGCCACTCTTTGGGGCCTATCTTTGCCATAACAACTCCAAGGTAGATTAAAAACTCAGAGGGAAACAACAGTTTTATTTTCCTCATCAGAGGACTGCCTTCAGGGCGTGACAGTTGGTCCAGAATCCCAAGATAAGTTGCATTTTATATCTGACTACATGGGATGAAACCTACTTGTTATCTGCATAGATTTCAAATGTGCCTAGCCTACATAGCCCAACAGGAACTCCCGATCTAGGCCCTCCCTCCTTAATCACTGGGGCTTAAGGCTTCTATTCACACACTCAAAGAGACACTGGGAAGCTGCCCCTACATGGTCTAACTGTGGCAGCAGACCCAGTTTTAAATACAATTTGAAGCCCTGCCCTGGTTTCCCACAAAGGAGGAGCTTCCTGCCAATGAGTTTTTCCTTCCTTCTGCCTGGTCTGGAAGAGTTTAATTCTAAGTCAGAACCTAAACAGAGAGTCTTGGCTCATGCAAAAAAACCATCTGAAAAAAAAAAAAAAGCCTTTCCTGAGGAATATACTGAGCACAACAGAAGCACCAGTGAATATTTAGCAACTACAGGGAAAGTAGAAAGTAGGTACCCTTAGACTGCTCTCCTCACTGATAGCCAATCATGCTAATGATTTTAGTTGCAGCGTTTTAGCAGGTGGGCGAAATACACTCCAAACAAAAAGCTATCATTTTCTTTTCTTCCATTTCTCAAAAGTGTGAGGAGGTGACTCGCATTTGTGATTACTGAAAATGGGCTGCGGGTTTCAACTTTACTCCCACATGGAGAATTGCTGCTGTCCATAATAGCCTCGCATGAGATCCAAGGTCCTAGGGCATAAGCCTAGACATTTAGAAAGAGCCTTAAAGCAGCACCCCCTTTCTCAACAGTGCCTAGGCAAGAACAGCTATTAGAAAAGGAAGTGGAGGCATGTTCCAAGGACTTCAGATCACGCCAGCTTCTCCAGTAAATCACGCCTGCTTTCTAATTCCCTGTCACAGATCACCCTGGTTTCCCACCAGGGTATGAGGCAGAGTAGCATTCTAAAGCTACTGTGGCAGCAGGCCCAGGGCACTATAGTAGGAGCCATACCAGATGGAAAATGAGTTCAAGTGAGCAAATGAACAACTCATAGATCATACCATGATCAATGCCACCTTTGGGTCTTAGAAGTCAAGGTGACTGACTAAATGATTGCTTTGAACAAACAGAAAGATCGTCTATATTGTAAAAGGAAAAAAAATTGAGCCATATCATACTACCCTGCATAGCAGCTTTCTGGAGAATTTAGAACTAAAGGAAGAAAGAAGGCAGAAGGGCAGCTGCCAGAAGGGCAGCTGCCAGGACTGCATGACAGGATCTCTACCATCATGTGGATTCTAGACTATTTGACAGTAGAAAAGACAAGCAATGTGGACCAGAGGGGATTGATTTTTCAATGTTCAGAACAGAGAAATCAGGCAAGGTCTTAAAAATGATTCAGACCCAGGAGTCGCTCAAATTCCTGTAACTCAGTGATATTTTATTTAAGAAAATGAGGATCACCAAATAAAACAACTATTTGTTTTATTGTTTTATTTTGCTTGCACATTATCATGCAAGTTTATTTCACCCTTTTTCCATAACACAAATTAAATGTGGCGCAACTGCTTAAAGACCATTTTTTACACAGCACAAGTTTATGCATGAGAAAACACTGAGTGGAGAATGTGCTCCATGCAAAAATTCTGACATGGAGCAAATTGGCTACTTTATTTTTTAGTTATTTTACTATTTTGGAGTATTTCCACACACAAGTACTGTATTTATATCATTTCCACTCCCCGCTCTTCCCTCTCCTACTCCTTCACACTCTCCTCTCCCAGTCCCTTTGAACTTCATGATTTCTTTAATTCCTGTAGCATGAACACACACACACACACACACTGTCATAATACACCCAACCATATGTTGATCATACGGATATATATTTAAGAATGACCACTTTTTGGCTGCAAAGTGTAGTGGCACATCCATTTAATCCCAACCCTTCAGACACAGACGCAGGGTTATTCTAAGCCAGTCTGATCTACATAGTGAGTTCTGGAATAGCCAGGAAAGCTATGTAGAGAGGCTCTGTCTCAAAAATACCAAAAAAATATGACCAGTTGAGATAGGATAATCTGTCTCCCCACTCCATTTCCTCTTGTGTTCCTGCTACTCCCTCTCAAATTCATGACTTCTTCCTCTTGAATTATATTGCACTTTTTATATGTGTTTTCAGCTAACCACTTGAGATTGGATAACCTATCAGAAAGCTAGTCCCAGAGAAAAATGAATTTTTTCTCTCCATACCCATTAACTTATTAGTGAGGTTGAGGTCTTGTGAGATTTACTCAGTCCACACTGATAGGACAACTGGTGTTGCCATTGAACTGGTCTTGATTAAGGAACAATATTGTTGAGATTTCATGAGTGTAACTTCCCTGTCAAATACAGAAGACATTATCTCACAGAAGATGTTCTACCCATATGGCTTTAACTATTTTTCTATTTCCTCTTCTTTGGTGCTCCCTGAGTCTTGGGTGCAAAAGTTGTGTTGTATATTTGTCAGTTGGAGTTGGGCATGCCCAGATCAGTTGATCTTTGCATTTTGACCAGTAGTGTTCTCACTCTACTGCAAAAAAAAAAAAAAAAAGGTTTTTTTTTATTATTTTTTGAATGCAGAGTGAGAGTTACACTAATCAATGGGTTAAAAGATAGGTATTTAGAAAGCAACTAAAAATTATAATTGTTTATCAAGGTAGTAGGTTCTCCTCCAGGGTCCCTAACCTCACCATCCACAGATAATTAGCCAGGTTTGCAGTACCAGGCATAGATGCCCTCCTGTTAAGGGTACCTTAAATCCACTTTGATGGCTATTGATTACCCTCTCCCAAGAAAACATCATTATTGTACCCTTGAGGATATCATTCTGTTCTGGTCCTTGTTGTCATGCAAAATCCTTACAGCTGGGTAGTACTATTGATTTTTTTCCTCCCTTGGCAAATTGCATAGCTAACTCCTTTGGATACTCTGAGGGATACCTCTCAAGGAAGAGGCTTTCAGGTCATTGCCAGCTCAATTCTTCCAAATCATGTGTCCTGTGTGCATGGTGTCTTTTGCAAAAGAGACCTACCATCATTTTCTGGAAGGGAGCCAATGGCAATGACAATTACCTATATTATTTTGAGAATCTTTTCAGCTCTTCTGACCAACAACTCGAAGGGCAGGTTCCCACGCCTAGACTGAAGATTTTGTTAAATAGTCTATGGCACCTTCCCATGTCTTACAGTGCTATGGGAAGTAAATATTCTCAACTCTTTTGGTTACTTTAGAATGTGGGTACCAGGTTTCAATTCTCAGTCTTTTGAAAGATACTAGAAAGGTATGTTAGGGCTAAACAAAATAAGACAAAAATTATTATTATCACAGCACTCAAGAGCCTGAGGCTAGTGGATTTGTAAGTTTGAGGCCAGCTTGCTCTATACAGTGAGTTCTAAGCCAGTCAAGGATACTTAGTGAGGCCCTATTTCAAAAAACATTACTATTAATAATTACCATTGCTGAGATTTCTGTTCCTCCCTGGAAAAGATAGGTAGCTTGAATTTCCTAGCATCGTTAGCCAATTTGAAAGCAGGAGGCTATCTTATTACTCCAAAAGAATATTTATTGATATTAAATATTTTAGTAGTTATCTCTAGTGCCTATGTGAAGATGTTGAAATATGGAATTCTACATGCCTTGGAGAGAGTAGGGTAATAAATATTTCTCTTCCTCATTCATTGTCAGTCAACTCTGAGTATTCAGCATGTTGACTATCACTTCATACACAGTTTTTCAAAGATCTCTGGACTGGGCACAGGTACAAGAGTTAAAAGCCTGGCATGTCAGACAAAAATTCATTTCTACTTTGGTGGTTCATAAAGTATGACGTTTTAAAGCTGTCACGGGTAGGGGGCTCTGCACAGTGTTGATTGTAATCTGGCTAGGATTTCTTGTTGGAAAGGAAGAGAAGGGAGAGCCCCACATTTTCTCATTGCTGTCTATACTGAGGGCTAAGCAAGAGGCAGGCTGAGCAGGGAGGGCTCTATATAGTCCTGAAAGAATAGACCCTGGAGATAAAATCACCAATGTTTAATTAGAGAGAAGAGTGAAATAGTGGAAGTCATGTGAGCACAAAAGCAGAAGTGGATATGTTTGAAAATGGTCTGTGAGTTTGAAATAGACATTTAAAAAATGTGTTTGTCGGTGGATAAGGTAACTGCGAAAGTGAAAGGGAAGGCATGTTGAATACTTACGAGACCAGGAAGTCAAAGCAAGTTTCTGCCTTTATATGGACTTCAAAGGATGTGGTTGGGTAGCCTTAGACAAGAAATGCCCCCCTTTTAGGTTTTAGTTTTCTGTGAAACAACAGATGTTTTTAGAAATGCCCTTCCAGGGGCTGGAATTGATTAGAGATCCTATTTCTTTTGTCAAAGACATGAATTCAGTTTCC